TGCTGGTTTACAGTGCATGCAACATGGCTTGGTACTAAGCCACATGAGGAGGAAGCCTGTCCGTGTCTTAAGAAGCTCTGCCCGACTTGCTCATTGCCAGCTTTTCCCACCACAGGCCTTGTTTTGGTGAAATCTGTGTGGAGCAGTTCAGAGAACACTCCTTGAGAAGGCCCAGTGTGAGCCCCTCTGCAACACTCAGCATCGCCCAAGCTGGGCAGGGAGGGGCCTGGGTATTGCAGCCACCATTCCCTCTGCTCCCACCCTTGGCAGAGTGGAAGAGTGAAGAGATGAGGAAGGTGACATTAACTGGTGAGACCCTACAATTAATGCAGCGGCTGTTTACCACAGTGAGAACAGCTCTGCCTGCCAATGCCAACTACCATCGCATCTCCCTACTGCCGGCTCCCCCCAAGTGTTTATTTAAGCCAACACATTGCTCTGCTAATTGGATAACATTCCATGTGAAAATAGACCTTTTAAAACAACAGCAGCGGCGGCAAATAAAAACAGCTGCAACTGCAAAAGTACAAAGGCACGGCGGGCTTAGGGAAGGAAAAAATTTCAGGTTCGTGGCATGGGAAAAAATTAATAATCTGGTTTTTGGGATGCAAGTTTCTTCTTATGATCCCTCAGAGCTGCCTTTCCTTTCTTTCTCCATGACTGGCCTGGTCTTGGGGGTTACAGTGGGCAGAGAGAGGGACAGGAAGAAGGAGAAGGAGGGGTTGGCTGGCAGCTTCTAACTGGAATCCCAGGGGCTACTGGTGGCCACTCAGCCAATGGGGACGGGGACACCTGGTTGGAAGTCCTCAGCACACCTGGCCAGGTAGAAGGCTGCTTCCTCCTTGTAAAGATTGCTCCATGAGGAGGGTTGGAAGGTGGAACAGCAGTGTGTGCCTCAGTTCCCCCAACTGTCAAACAGCTCCCTACTGACCATATTTAAGAGTCCTGTGAGGATTAAAATGTCTATATGCAAATACCCATCACCATTCTTGTCAAAAATGGGCTTTCAGAAGTTGAGAGCTTTTATGACCCAAACACACGGCCCTTTCAGAGACATCCTTGCAGCCCAGAGAACCTGCGGCACTGGCGACAAGACAGCTGTGCACGAAGTGCAGGCTGCCTGGGGGACCTCTGCAGGCAGGCTGTGCTCCAGCGCCTGCCTTCCTGCGTCATCCCCATGCTCCTTTCCTTGTCGCCCTCTGTCCTCTGCTTCTGCCCACGATGTGGGGGAAGGTTCTTTGAGAAATGCCAGATCATCACACCTGAAGGTTTAGATAACACCAGCACTTTCCGAGGGACTGACATTTACCACCAGGACATCAAGGGCTGATAAAATGTCCTAGGTTGGGAGAATATGCCAGCTCATCGATCCTGCTTCCCTTGAGTGGGACTCCGGTCACCACAGCTTGTGACAAAGGCAGATGGCCAGGAGAAGGTCTGGGCTACCCCTCGATCTGTGGCCCCAGAGCAGGGCTTGGCACATGCTCAGAGAAATCTGGGAGAGAGACCTGGTATGCATCTCCCGCACATTCTGGGCTGCTGCAGTGTGGGATGAGGCGCTGTGCGTGCGGTGAACTGTCACATATGAAGCCGGCACATTCACAGGAGCCCCTTGCTATTATCATCAGTTGCCTGGTTACTCTGAGCTCTGCCCGCAACAGACTTCAAGGAGCCTCTTCTTAGCATTCTCTCTCCATTTTGGGGTGTGTGCTTGACCCAGAAGGGGCCTGGTGGACCTCAGAGTTCCCAAGGATGTGCAAGGTGGGATGTGGGGCTCGTGAAGAGAAGACAGAAGACCCCTGGAAGAAGGGGCAGTGGAGATGGACCCATGCTCAGGGCCAACTCAGGGACTGTAGTGTGGAGGGGAGACCTCTGGGAATCCACAGGAACTTCCCTCTCCCGTCCTCTGCTGGCAGGTGCATAGACTAGTAGATGCCAGGGAAAAAGCACACTGTCTTAGAGGTCGAGATTCCTGGGTTCAAGTCCCAGCACTGGCTCCCCCCAGAAACCATGGGTTTCTCCATTGCTCTCCAGCCCTGAGCTCTACTATGACCTTTTCCTCTCTCCCTGGCTATCTACCCACACCCCTTCAGCCCTCTCTTCCCTTCTCCTTTTTTCCCATTGGAGGAATGCCTGGGATAGATCTGGATCTAGAGGTTGCTGATGTCAAAGTAGGGACCAACTGTTTGTCTGCATTGAGGGCATGATGATGGGATATGAGATCAAAGCCCTTGGTGAGGGATTGGAAGGGCTGGTGCTAAACTGAGCCCTGGGAGGGGTTTATTAAGGAGGTCTCTATTCTCCAAGAGCTTGCAAGGGGAGGAGAGTGTACCTGATCTTGTTCTCACTAATTCCTTGCTTTGGGGTTTTTCACTCCATGTTCCCAACAGTATTACTCGCCCTCTTCAGATTCATGCCTGCCTTCCAGCTAACCAGATATTTACCATATTCAGAATTCTGTCTGCTAATATGCAGCCTGGGAGAGTCCACGGGTCAACGGAGAGTGCTAACTGTTCCACTCAGAAAACAATCAACTTCTCCAGACAGAGAAGGGGGAGGAGGGAGAAAGTAACAGAAGCTTCACCAGGAAGGAAAAAGAGCAGAAGTATTTTTGTAGGAGAGATATGCTCAGGGTGGGTGTCGGCCTTCTGGGGGACCAGCTTGCTGCCTGGTGGTGGGCACAGAGGGCTGAGTCCCAGTGTGGTGAGAGGGAAGAGCTGATCCCAGAGGGGCTGAGTGGAACCCGACTGTCCTCAGCTGCCCTTTCTCCTCCTGGAGGCCAGAATGGAAGGCAGGGGGGAGTTATCACTCTGTAGGGCTGTGCTGGGCCAACTAGGCATCGGGTGAACTCTGTCAATGACATGTGCTGCCCTGCTCACCTGGGGATCCACTTTCTGTTTTAAACACCAAAGAGCAAATGAAGTGGTAAAGGGGCTTGTGGAATGTCAGGCTGGTGCCCACCCCTAGTCTGACCCTCTGGGCTCTGAGGGCTGTGTGGACTCTGACGTCAACCTCTCTGCGAGGGACAGAGGATGCTGTGAGGAAGGAGGCTTTCTAGCCACAGGGGCTCCAACACCTTTGCTCTCCGCTTCTGCCTGGATCTTCTTGTTTTCAGATCATCCCCATGGTTACCACCTATACCATCCTCTTCCTTCTCAGAGCCAACAACCAGACCACATAGGGGCCAGGCCCTGTTCTAAGACTATCACCCCATCTAGGCCTCACAATAACTCCAGCAAAATCCCATGATTGTTTCACAATGGGGGAAACTGAGGCACACAGAACAGTGGCAGCCATGGGATCCCAAGTTAGGCAGTCTGGCTTCATAGTTTGTGCTCTAATGACTGCCCTTTGCACTGGCCACAATGAGAGACATTTTAGGGGCAGGAAGGGAGTCTCCTATCTCTCCATTTCTCCCTCAGATAGGCAACTTCATGGAAGGCAGAGAACAATGGTGCTGCACCTCCTTGCCCATCCCCTGCCATCCCCAGCAGTGCCTTGCACTCCTTTCTCCCTGTCGAATGATCATCGGACATGTGCTTGGATCCATGGAGTAAGGGACAGGTGGCTCCATAGGGGCCTGGGCTGGTAACAATAAGGAGGAAACAGCTAACTTATATGCCAGGACAGGGTCAGTGTTTCTGTGGCACCCTCTGCCTTATCCCTGTGAAGGTGGGCACTGTGTTGCTCCTGTTTCACAGATGAGGAAACTGAGGCACGGGGAAGGCTTAGTCAGGGTTGAGCTGCCACTGGGGAGGGCAGCTGCTCTGCACGCCTGCCCACCCCTGCCATCCTGAGCCAGTGCAGGGCCCCACGTGCCTGCCCCACCATGAGGACAAAGGCCATGGGCCTGTTGCACCCTGTCCCTGGCGGGAAGCAAGTGAAAGGCGGCTGAATGAGAGGGGAGAGGAGCAGATGTCCAGACAAACACGGCCACGAGTCAATAAAACAGGCACTTGAGCTCAAGACGTGGAGACAAAGGTGTCTGGCAAGGCCCTCTGAGGGTCCCGGTGCGCCCTCGCTGCCTGCACTTGTTCCCAGGGCCCACAAAAGCTGCAGCTGTGTCCTGAGCTGCCACCTTCAGCTCTGCCCAGCTGACCTACCCGCTGGGCCTCCTGAAACACCAACTTGCCGCAGGCTAATGGGCGCAATTCCCAGAAATGCTTGCTGCTTTCCCGAAGAGTTCCCCAGCCGAGGGGAGAGGGTCCTAGCCTGCCATAGTAGGTACCCCATACTTTATCTCATCCTTGAGGAAAAACTAGGCTAAGGGAGGGGAAATGCTGCCCATGCAGCCCATGTGACAGCTCCCTGGCCACCTTCTTTCTGGGTTCTGAGCTGGATGTGGACGACAGTAGCTGCAGCCACAGCCAGAACCCCATCCACACAGCCTCTGTCCCCACGTTGGCTGCTGGGTAGGCTGAGGCAGCAGTGAAGCCCCTCATGGTGTCCTGAGCCTATCTGGAGAAGCTGCCTCATCTCAAAACTACAAGGTGATCTAGGCTGCAGAGGAGCCGGTGGGATCTCTGTACACCTGGAGTGCACAGCAGTGCCTGCCTGGGCTGCCTCACAGGTAAGTAGCACAAAAGGCAACTCCTGGCCCCTGGCCCCAGCAGATCCTGGGTGCCTCATTGCCTCTATTCTGGGGGCTCTGCCCTGGGGCCCCTCCCGATACACCTCCACCTGGCTTTTCCTATGCTGCCCATCCCTGGGGGTCTGCCTGGACCAAGGAATTTTCTCGCAGTCTTGGACAGGCCTGGGAAACCCATCTGCTTCCCCATTGGTGTCCCAGGCTCCTGCATACACGAAATGGGGCAGGGAAGGGGACACAGAAACTGCCCCTTCCTCTGAACACAAAACCCAGGGTCTTCTCCCCCAGGGACATAGTGCAAATTAGCAAGGTTGAGGGGAAAAAAGAGGAAACCACATGGGGTGGCAACCCTGGCATTTGTGAAGAGGCCTTGCTGCTTCTCACGAAGGGCCCAGGCAGGCCAGGGTCTCACCTTTGCATCCTGCTTGGTGAGGAAGTCCACGAAGCCGAATCCTCTGTGTGTGCCTGTCCCGGTCATCTTCTTTGGTAAGCGAACTGTCTTCAGCTCCCCAAAGGTGCTAGAAACAAAAGGCATAACATGGGGGTTTAAAGATGGAGGCCTGCAAAGGCAGCAGGGGTGAGAAGTGCTTGCAGGCATGCGCACACTCACATCAGCTCTGAGGCATGGGGAGCCTCCTCCTAGGTCCCGGCCATCAAACAAGGTAGGGAGTGAAAAATCAGGCTGGAAATCCTGATGGAGAGTTTTGATTCCTCCCCAACAAGCTGGTGTCTCTAGCACACCTGTCTTCCCCTTCCTTGTGGGGTACCTATGTGCCAGCCTTGCACCTGAGAGGCTGGTCGGGAGACCCTGGCAAGGGAAAGGGGCTGCCAGCGTCTGCAAAACAGGACTTAGGGCAGTGGAGTCTCCTAACCTTTCCAATCCATCTCTATGTCTGAGCTGAGCACACAGAAACTCCATGTTGAGCAGCAGGATGATGACCCTTCTCCCAGACCTGGTACCCTGGATGTTTCTTCAGTGCTCAGCACTCAGAGGACATGCAGCTACCCCTCTAAACCCACATCCCTCCCTCTGAGCTTTCTGCTGAGCCCAAGTCAGCCAAAGCTCTGGAGAAGAAAATGGCTTGGCCTCTCCTAACAGGGATCAAACCAGTACACACAGCCTTGGGCCACCTCCCAGGTGCCTTCCCCTCCTCCCCTTTGGTCAAACCTTTGAGAAATTCTAAAACAAAAGGATCAGGCTTTCTCAGGCCTCCCTTGCTTCCCTGTCTCACTACTCGCCCCCCAACCCCTTCCTAATGTCCATTTATCAAATACACACGCACAAATTGCTACCGATAAATATTTAATGTGCACGGCATTGGAAGAGAGGTATTATTTTATTTGAAAATCTACACATACTTGTGCCCGCCTGGGCATACACCCGTACTCATGATGGTCTATGATGCTTCAGGGCCAAAGACCGATTAGGTAAAAAACATAGTAAAGGCCGTAAGCGCTCGTGAAATGATATAAGCTAAATCCGAGGCGTTAACCTGCAGCCCTGCCAGCATGACCAGGCATCTGCCAGCCCAATTTCTGAAGGCAGGATGGTGTGTAAATGCAGCATTATGAATCCTCAAAATGAATCTGCACGTCTCCTCAGAGCTCCCCCCAGCAGCTCCGCTCCCCCCCTCCTGGCGCCTTCTCTGTGCAGGCTACGAGAAGCACGGCTGGTGACAAGACCAGCCTCCCGGGGAGGGAAAGAAGCCCGGGAGCACAGAGAGTGGAGCACGGTCAGGCTTCCCCGCTGGTTGGGGGCCAGGGCTGGGCACAAGAGACTGGGCAAGTGGGGACCAGAGGTAAGGCTGGAGAGCCCAGAGGAGTCAGTGGCAAACCCTGCTTCATTCTGCCACCTAAAGGCCACTGTATCCCATAACAGACACGCTGCCTCACTTCCCTCCACTGAAGCCTCCTTGCCTCTGCTGGGTCGAATTGGACAGCGAGGGCAGGGGAGGGGCAAGTTTCTTGTGATAAATGGTTCTTTGGCTCCATGTTTTTCCAAGAGCCACTGGGACTTCAAGGATGGCACAGTTGGTGGCCACGAAGACTAGATTTGAGAACGTTCAGCGCTGGTTTGAGAAAGCTGAAGCGCACATGGGGAGCATGCTGGGGGCTTTCTCCATGTGGTCATAGCACAGACAGCCTGCGAGGGTTGCTGGTGCCTTCACCCCTGCCTGGGCCTCCAGGCATGCTCAGGCCTCAGTCTAAATGCCACCAGCTCTCAGCTGCCTTTCCTAGTCTCTCAGAAGATCCCTGCGCTCCCAGTTTGGGATGCTGGGGCTCAGGTCTGCAGGAGTAGGGGCCATATCTACTTCGCTTATCACTGGGTCTGTAGCAACGAGCTCTGTGCCTGGCTCAGAGCAAACACCTGAAGATCTTTTATGAATGAATGAATATACAAGCAAACAGCAGCCCTGGAGGGTAGACATTGGTAAGTTACACCTACTCCTAGGGTGTGATGAGGAGGAAGAAATGAAATAGGCTGTAAGGTTTATTGTTAGTCTTATCATTCCCATGTTACAGATGAAGAAACTGAGGCTAAGGGAGGCACGGTTGCTCGTGATAGGCAGGATTATGTGGACCCCGGGCATGTGTGACGTTAAGCCTGAGCTCTCTCTTGCTGCCACATAATGTCTCAAGCCCCCTCCATCATCCAGGTGGGGACCGGCGGCTTTTAGGAGCTGGGGCCTCTTTCTTCCCAGAGCTTAGATAGGTCTGGGGTGAAGCAGGAAAGTCCTATGGAGACTTCCAGAGTTCCAGTGACCTCTCCAACACCACAGGGCGAGGGGGGTAGACTGAGTCCCAGTTCCTTCTGCCCACACTGAATGTAAACCCCTACTTCCACCCTCAGGGGCTATAATCTCCTATCCCTTGATAGTCTCAACCACCTCGGCTCAGGTTTCTTAGCTCTGTCTAATTTCTGGTGAGCCAGAATATGTGCATGTAAGAGAGAGACACACACACACACACACTATTGAGGTTAAGTCCTCCCTCTCTGCAGCACATTGCAAGCTGTGGATGCTCTGTGCATGGTAAGCAGCTAAGGGTCCAGAGAAAGGCGAGGAAAATAATTAAAAGGCAGAGAAAAAAGCTGGTGAGGAGAGGCTGCAGGAGCTGTGCTTACAGTGGCCTGCAGACGTAGCATTTCAGAGCTCAGAAGGGGCAGTTGGGACAGAAGGGCACCCTGGATCTACCAGGGATTGTGGGCAGGAATTGGGGAGCTGGGTATCCTGCCCCAGGCAGCTAGAGGGCCTTGGGGAGGTCACAGCCACAGTCTGGGGTTCCAGACAGACATCTGCATGGCAAATAAAATGATGTCTCCAAAGACCCTAGTAGCTTTGAAAATCCCATTATTCTTCATGGAGTCAGAGAAACGGTTATGATGAGATGATTTCTTCCTTTCTTCTAAGAATAGAAAAAGAGAGAGTTGAGGCTTCAGGAGGAGTTAGAAGCCAGGGTTAGAACCTCCTGATGCCTGTGGACACTTCCGGAAATATACAGCACCATCATTGCTGCCATCATCACCCTAGCTACCAGTGAGTGCTGGCAGTGTGCTAGGTCTTTAAAATATATCCTTTCCAGTTGAGACTACAACTGTGGGACCATAGTGTGACTGCCTTTATTTTATAAATGAGAAAATCAAGGGACAAAAAAGGAAAAGTGATGTGGCCACATCTCACAGCCCCAGGACTCAAAATCCAGGTGTACCATTTCTCATCTGGGCTGCTTCTCCCAGTCTAAGAACAAAGCTGGGCGGTAAATGACTTCAGTTGCTCGTATAACTGTGTGAGATGATCATACGAGGCCAATACTAATGATTCCAGAGAGATATTGAAAGAGAATTAAAAAGGAAAAAAGAAAGGTTGGGGGAGAAGAAAGCGATGAAGTACCTTTAGCTCCTTGGAGATAAGCGACATATAAATACCAGCCATTATTAAGGCCCTTATCTGACAGCAAGGTCTATGGAGCCATTTTTAAGAGTGGCTTTTGAAGGAAGTTCTGTGTGAACCCTCATCTCCTGGGAGCGGAGGCCACTGTCAGGGTGAGGCTAGGAAGGGCCACTAGGAACCAGAGAGGGAGGAAAACCCTCAGGGCACCCAGGAACTTCTTCTGGAACCCAGACTCTGGCACTAAGGGAAGGAGATGCACACACTCCCCACTGTGTAGATAATAGAAACCACAAAGTAGCAATTACTGTATCAGAAGCTGTGAATAAAGAGGACATACCGGGCTTTTAAACACAGCCCTCCTTCCCTCCCCCACCACGCTCACACTTCGGTAACAAACTCACACCTCACTTTTCCAATTATTTCATTCACCTCGGGTTCACCAATTATTCCCTCCCACCACAGTCCCACCCCCTCCGCCACACCAGGAGCCCATGATTGGTGGTGGGGATGTGGGTTTATGACAACTGGAGTTTGTTGCCACGTTTCTAATTTCTTTTGAGGTGTGCAGGGGTGGGAGGGGGTCTGGGGGAGGTGGAGGTGGGAGGGGGGCACCGAGGTGTTGAGAGAGGAGAGCCAATTATGCCCAACCCTCATAAACAACTCGGGCTATGCAAATGGTGTTTGCACACAGGCCTGAAGGCAGAAACAATACATGCCTGTGTGCGGGGGTGCATGCGCGTGCCCTTCATGTGGGTGGGTGGGGATCTCCTCCCCCCCTCCCCCACAGCCCTGTTGAAGCCCTGGCCAGCACCTGCTACTGAAAAGGGACGAATCATCTTCTGTTCTCTCCTTCCCTCCCTGACTGATGTGTTGGGCTTGGGAAGGAAGTGAGAGGAAAGGTAAGAACCTTCTAGAGATGATGCCAAGCTTGACTGTTTGCAGCTATTCTGGTGCCTGGGTTTGGGGGCTTAGTGGGCCGGCTAGGAGGCCAGCCCACATGCTGGCACCAAAAGGTGGCCAGACAGACCTGAACAGCTGGATCCCTCTACTCCCACGACTTGAGTCCTTATCACTCTCCACTGGGATCCGCTGGAAAAACCAACATCCCAGCACAAGTGCTGAGTCACATGGGTTAAGTTTGTTGGCCTTGCTTCTCCCCGCCTGCACACTCAAGGCATTGATAAGGAAAAAAGTCTGCTGCTACCCAAGGGACCTAGAGTCGGATTCACTGGTGTGATTCCTTCCTCGGAACAAGAGGAAGTAATGGTTTTATAAGAATAGACGGCTTCTTTGGTTCCTTCCAGAGATAAGAAAAAAAACAGCTAAATCTCATGGTATTATGAAGCCTTTTTTATTTTTTTATTTTTATTTTTTTATTTTTCCTCAAGCTATCCCCCTGGGTAGAGCGCCATGGCTTCACAGCTCACAGCAACCTCCAACTCCTGGGCTCAAGCGAGTCTCCTGCCTCAGCCTCCCAAGTAGCTGGGACCCCAGGCGCCTGCCACAACGCCCGACCATTTTTTGGTTGCAGCCATCATTGTTGTTTGGTGGGCCCGGGCTGGGGATTCGAACCCGCCACCTTAGGTGTATGTGGCCTCAGCCGCTTGAGCCACAGGCGCCGAGCCATG